TAACCTATTCTAATAATATAATTGGTAATAATTATGATAATTTATTAGAATAGGTTAGGTTAGAACTTGCGTCCCCACTGTTTGCTTTCTTGTCTTTGCTGGAATCGGCGATCAGCTGCCATGAGTGTACGTATCTGGACTTTAACCAAAATAACAAAATAACATTTTTTTTACTCACCTTTGTCCGCACTCATTCGCCGACTCTGGCGTGACGCGCAGGTGCTCGCGTCGTCACGTGACACGTCGTCTCCAAAGCGGTCCGGTTTCGAGGCTAAAACAGGAAGAGCCGCCATGATGGTCTACGATCCTGTACATTAACCAAAAATACATAAAATATCTTTGTCAACGTTCAGTTATGATACACTTTTTTGAATTATCTTTCTGACTTGATATTGTATTTTGCATGATTATGTTATTTATACAAAAATTGTAAGTTTAGTATCTTTGTCAGTATTTGTGTGTTGGTAATGTGTTTTGAATATATTGAAAACATTTTGTAGAAAATTAATTTTTACAAGAAATTACAATAACTATAAAATTATTAGTTTTATTTATTCATACATACATTTAATTAATAAAATCATAATTTGAAGAAATCACAACTTTTTTTCAGCAGAATTTACTTGCTACTTTCATTTTGTAAGGAAAAAATTGAAATCAGATGTTTTAAAATATAAATATTATTTTTAAATGTTTTGTTTTTGTAATTTTTATCAAAAGACTAATAGTTCCTTACCATTACTTATTTTACACACAAAAAGCATGCAAAAACTGCTCTCAGAAAGAAAATTATTATTTTTGTTATATATGTGATAACTTTTAAAATAAATTTATGTAGAAAATATTAAAATATTTTAAAAATTTGATAAATTAAAATTTTACACTCATTATCTTTTCAGATATTTTTTCACTCAAGTGAATGTAAAGATTTTAAAAACCTAAATTTGGGTGATGATGTAGAATTCACTATACAAATAAGGAATGTAAGTAGTAGTTAAACTTTTTCATGTGTTTTTTGGCTTCTATAGTGAGGAAATAACTATGTATAAGTGTAACCAGTTTGCTTTACCTACCATATTTTACTTCCTTTACAATATATACTACTAGTCTGCTCCTGATACAGAATTATCATATCACATTATTTATACCAATAAAAATTTTCAAATAAATGTCAATCTTCTAATACTATTTGAGGACATTAGTGAAATTCATGCAATCTGTGTTGTTTTCCTGCACAATTTTAACTTAGTATTTCATATTTGATTGATTTATAGATAAGTTCTGCTGTAGAAAATTACTGAATCACTTCTTCTGAGTTTTTAAATTAAATTAAAATAAAACAATTGCAGCAGATGTATATGACAGCAAGTACGGGGAGTGAAAGAAAAATTACAAAGAAAGCAATAAGCCATTATCAATTGCAACAATGCCCAACCACATACATCTAGAAAAACCCAAGAAAATTTTGGTTTTCATGGTCAGAGTAACTTTATCCTTCTCATTCTGTAGACTGGTAATGCCCAAACTATGGTCCCTAGGCCAAATCCAGTCCACAAACATATTTGAGAAATCATTTATAAATGGTAGAAGTGGGCCTACTTTTTGTATGTGTAGAATATATAAAATATTTGTGGCTTGTCTATCTGTGACTTATGCACTATTTGACTCACCAGTTGAAAAGTTTGGGCACCACTGCTCTAGGTCTTGCTTCCATCAGATATCCATCTCTAGGTTCTTCTAAAGTTCATTAAATGGATAAAATTTTCATATTGATATTGAGGTTGATTAATTTGTAAAAAAATGTTTTTGCTTCAAAATCACAAAATTTGTCAAGAAAGAACTTAACAATAACTGTCTAAATGGGAACAAGTTGTATATATTGAAGAATATATAACAGATTGAAATTTATTGTATTGCTTTTCAAATATAAAATTTTAGTTTGTTAAGTAAACTGGAACAGTATTTATTTATTAACCTAATGTATTATTATTCGGAAAACTGTGTCTTAGCACAGTTTATAACTGGTTTATTGCTTATTTAACCTTCTTTGAAATGCTTTGGTCTGTTAAGGTTCTGATACCAAAACTTTCTAGCAATCAACTAGCCATTGTTTTTTCCTAATTAATATGTATAGATTATAGATAATATAAAAAGAATCTTTCTTACAGCAAAACTTTAATGGTAATTGTAATATTGTATACATACAAAAATATTCTGAAATTTTTTATAACTTTTGTATTAATTCAGTGTATGTAGACTTCAGGACTAGAAGCATAGCACATTATATAATGAGAATGAGCTTTAAATTAATTTAGGAAGAAGAATTAATCATTACATATATTTGTTAATTATGTAGATGAGACTAAAATACAGATTTATTTATATTTAAGGTTACATTTTACTTATTACATTATTATTAATAATATATATTACCATTTTTAAAATTGTAACTATTAATATTGCAGTCAAATGACATTACCATGTACAATTTTAAGTGGGATTGAAAACTGTTTTAATCACTTTAGGTCAATATTGGTTTTAAAAATAATTTATAAACTGATATTGATATTATGACAGCTATCTATTTTTAAGCAATATTTTAATAATTTTTAGTAATTTTAATAATAAAATTATTTAAGTGTAAATTTATGTTAAATTTTATTATTTATTTTGTTTAGAATAAAGAAGTGGCAATAAATATTGTCCATTTGCCATTAGGAACTGTTGTATTTGATGATGTCTCTAAAGAAACAGTAATGGGTCATGTTATTAAGATGTTTGATAAATTACAAACAAGACATCCTGAACCTATGTCTGGAAAAATTCGGTATCGTCGTGATAGCAGGTATGTTCATATTTATTATTGCAGACATATGCTTCTAAGTGAAAAATTTTTATTAACTATTATTTGATCAAATATGCAAACTTTCATTCTAAATTAATTATTTGGTTTATCTAAGAAGTTTGTATAACTTAGTATAATAAGATTAGAATTACCTGATTATATTGATAATGATATCTGTTTTGAATAATCTTTATTTTGAAATTTATCATGTATATATTATCTGTAGATTGTATTTAAGTAATTGCTAATTTTGTTTTTTATTACATGTATTAATTTTATAATTTACAAGAATTTAATATTTTATAATTAATAAA